GATGCTCTCTCAGTGTTTCCTTTCAGCTTCACCAGTCAGCTCTGCTCCTCTTCCCAGCTCATTTCTTTGTCCACGTGGGCTCTAAACAACAAGCCTTTCCCCCCTCGATGCATTTGGGACCCCCTCTGAGCCTCTGCATTCCTTGAAAAGAAGGCCTGGGGGGCATGCCCAGCGTCACCCAGCTCTGCACTGGCAACATAATGCCTTAGGATTTCATCCGCTACAAAAACACGGTGAGCTTCCAACTCTTGGAAGCAACTTTCCCCAGGGATTGGGCCTCTGCTGACCAAACAAGATAGACATGCAACACGTATCACCTTCTGGCGGCTGGAGGCAGTATTGGGAGCCTCGGCTCAGAAGAATGAGGCCACTCATATCTTACTGACCTCTTGCCACTTTAACGTTTATGTTCCTGAACATTTATGCTTTCTTGGTGCTTTAAACAATGATACACAGACGTGGTGTGTAGCCCCAGGTGGTGCACAGGGTTACACCGCTGAGCTGCTGAACTTGCTGACCAAAAGGTCGGCAGTTTGAATCTGGGGAGCGGCGTGAGCTCGCTGTTAGCCCCAGCTTCTGTCAACCAAACAGTTCGAAAACATGCAAATGTGAGTAGATCAATAGGTACTGCTTCGAGGAGAGGTAATGGCACTCCATGCAATCATGCTGGCCACATGACCTTGGAGGTGTCAACGGACAATGCCAGCTTTTTGGCTTAGAAATGGAGACGAGCGCCACCCTCCAGAGTCAGACATGACTAGACTTAATGTCAAGGAGAAACTTTTACCATTACCTAACACAGACATGATTGGGAGCTACCCTTAAGAGTTCAGGGATTACAGGATAGGACTGACTTTTTGAGCAATGCAATATCTGAGAGCAGAGTGAACAAGCAGGCAACATCCAAATTCTTCTTGGCCTGGAACCTGCAGAAATAAGCAGAGGAACTCTGCACAGCAGAACTGGGTTGAACTGGATGGCCGTTGTGGTCTCTTCCAACTCTACGATCTGATGGCTTGCAACTGGGTCAGCCCACTTAATGGCTCTCAAGGGTCCTCCAGACATAGAGCATTGACCCTTGACTCAAAGTATTTGGATTTTTCAAGCTCTTGCTTTGCCAGAAGCAAGTCTGGTGGCCTAAGACAAATCAAATCACACACCCACATTGGCATGGGAATAGAAAAACAACATTTGAACGCCCTTATCGTCTGGCATTTCCAAGGATTTGTTCATTCAGACTATAGCAGATGGTTCAAAGTAGAATGTCCATTCCCTCCACAACAACCTGACTGACCCTTCCCCAAAGGCTTGCCTTTGCCAAAAAGAAGCCCCATCCGAATTTTACAAGAATTGATAGGCAACCCCGCTCTGGTTGTAACTCTTTGACGAGGATACCATGGTGCATATTCTTTTGCCTGCACACGAAACATGAACTGGTCATCTGGAAAGTAGCCTCCAAGGAAATGGGAGATCATGCGGTCACATCACTGGGAGGTTAGAAAAGGACTGTCAGCTCTGGGTCTGGCTAAATTATCAGTACAGGTCTTACAAGTAGGATGTATTGTGATAAAAGGAACAAAGGGGAGCAATACAGAAAATGGTAGCTGATCCTGAGCACAGAAAAGGGCTGGGAAATCCAGAAGAAGATTCAAGCTAGAGATGTACCTCAAAGGCACAAAGAGCACTTCTCACACATGGCTTTCTCCTCAAGCTCTTTGGTGAGCTTTGTTAAAAATATTAAAAATTAACTAGGTATTTTAATTACAAATAATAATAATAATAATAATAATAATTATTATTATTATTATTTATATTTCTATGCCTCCCTTCTCACCCCCAAGGGGACTCAGCATGGCTTACGATATATATATATATATACACACACACACACACACACACACACAATATATTATATTATTAGCATTGTATAATATCAGTATTACATATTACTATATTGCACTATACCACTGTATTGTAATATTAGTAATATTACATGTAATATAAATATATAATTATAATATTGTATTATTATTATTAATAGTATTATATTGTATTACATTACCAAAATTGTGTAGCTTGTTGTCGACCCGAAAGACAGTTGCATCTGTCAACTAGGAAATTTAGGTACCACTTATGTGGGGAGGCTAATTTAACTGATTTGCGAGGCCATAAAAAATCTCCAGGAAGTATGCAAAGAATGAGGAAGTGACAGCTCCCCTGGTGGCCAGAAGCTGGAATGTTAAATAGCTTCTGTGTGTCTGTCTATATATGTTGTGTGTCTATGGCATTGAATGTTGGCCATGTATATGTACATTGTAATCCGCCCTGAGTCCCCTGCAGGGTGAGAAGGGCGGAATATAAATATGGTAAATAAAATAAATAAATAAATTATGTGTGTTATGGAAAGCTTGTCTTTGTAAATAATGCAGCCATATTCTTTTCCTATAAAGAACAGCCTCCCATGGAAGACATAACATTGGTCTGTTGTGTTTTTGTTCTTTTTATCACTGTGGGATAGTGGCACTGGTTCACGCTGCTGCTAATAAGTTACTCTGCTGTGTGTTTATGGGAAGGGTCTGTTGTTAATAAGTCCAGTCGCTCAATAAGTTGCACCTTATGCTTCGAGGGCAATTTGGGTCAGAAAAAACGGAATGCAAAGATACAGAATGGGGGACGATGACGCCTGGCTCGAGAGCAGTACGTGTGAAAAAGATCTCGGAGTCCTCGTGGACAACAACAAGTTAAACATGAGCCAAGAATGTGATGTGGCAGCAAAAAAGCCAATGGGATTTTGGCCTGCATCAAGAGGAGCATAGTGTCTAGGTCCAGGGAAGTCATGCTCCCCGTGCTCTATTCCGCCTTGGTTAGACCACACCTGGAATATTGTGTCCAATTCTGGGCACCACAATTCAAGAGAAATATAGACAAGCTGGAATGTGTCCAGAGGAGGGCGACTAAAATGATCAAGGGTCTGGAGAACAAGCCCTATGAGGAGCGGCTTAAGGAGTTGGGCATGTTTAGCCTGAAGAAGAGAAGGCTGAGAGGAGATATGATAACCTCATATGTGATAGCCTAAATATGTGAGAGGAAGCCACAGGGAGGAGGAGGGAGCAAGCTTGTTTTCTGCTTCCGTGGAGATTAGGACAAGGAACAATGGCTGCAAACTACAAGAAAGGAGATTCCATCTGAACATGAGGAAGAAGTCCCTGACTGTCAGAGCTGTTCAGCAGTGGTACTCTCTGCCCAGGAGTGTGGTGGAGGCTCCTTCTTTGGAAGCTTTTAAACAGAGACCTCATGGGCCATCTGTCAGGGGTGATTTGAATGCAATATTTCTGCTTCTTGGCAGAATGGGGTTGGACTGGGTGGCCCATGAGGTCTCTTCCAACTCTTTGATTCTATGATTCTATGAGAACCGAGGAGCCCCCTCACTCCTAAGGGGCAATTTGGAAGAAAACAAACATTACTCTGTGTGAGTCCCTGCCACCCCTAGCAGAAGATGTTTGGATAGTAGCGCTTAGGTCAAGATCAGCAATATGGAATCATTGAGAGGGAATATCTAACAAAGGGGCTGCAAACTTCAGGGAGAAGGCAACGTAAAGGAGTGTGTGTGGTTTAGCTGTTATCCCACTCCACCCCAGATGACTCTAAGATCATCTGGAGAGGCCCTGCTCTCAGTCCCGCCTTCGTCACAAGTACGTTTGGCAGGGACGAGAGACAGGGCCTTCTCAGTGGTGGCCCCTCGGCTATGAAACACCCTCCCTAGGGAGATCAGATCTTCTCCCTCCCTCTTAACATTTCGCAGGCAAGTTAAAACATGGCTGTTAGAGCAAGCGTTTACAAATGCAGAGTAGCTAATATAGGAAATCGAAGGATTTGACAATGGAACTGGACAATGCTTGATAAAAATGAGATGCTAATACAGGGGTCCTCAAACTTTTTAAACAGAGGGCCAGGTCACAGTCTCTCAAACTGTTGGAGGACCAGATTATAATTTGAAAAAAAAAAACATGAATGAATTCCTATATATTATTTGCGGTGCCAAAAACACTTACAAACAATACAATAATTAAAATGAAGAACATTTTAACAAATATAAACGTATTAGTATTTCAATAGGAAGTGTGGGCCTGCTTTTGGCTGATGAGATAGGATTGTTGTTGCTGTGTGCTTTGAAGTCATTTCAGACTTATGTTGACCCTGAGCAAGGGCCGGGTAAATTACCTTGGAGGGCCATATCTGGCCCCCGGGCCTTAGTTTGAGGACCCCTGCACTAATTGTTGTTGTTTTTATTGCTCTTGTGGCGTTTTATACTGTTTGATGTTTTAATCTGTATTGTGTTTTTATGTGTCCTGATTTGTTGGAAACCGCCTTGAGTCACCAATTGGCTGAGAATGGCGGTATACAAATACAGTAAATAATAATAAAATAAATAACAAATTCACAAGGAGATACAATCAACCATGTTGATGGACAGCAAGCAGAGTCCTGGCCTTGGGCCACAGCTGCTTTATTTTATTATCCCCACAAAGTGAAGTAGCACTCTAACCAAGCATGGGCAAGTTTTGTTCCTCCAGGTGTTTTGGACTTCAACTCCCACCACTCCTAACAGCCTCAGGCCCCTTCCTTTCCCCCCTCAGCCGCTTAAGCAGCTGAGGGGGAAAAGGAAGGGGCCTGAGGCTGTTAGGAATGGTGGGAGTTGAAGTCCAAAACACCTAGAGAGTCCAAACTTGTGCACGCCTGGTCTAACCCCAGGCACAACAACACAACACAAGGAATAGAGTCTCTGTGCCAGATTTGGGGTCTGATGGCTCACATTTGGGAAGAGGATTGGGTGGGAACTCACATCCCATATGCAGGAATATGAATAGTAGGAAGAAGAGACAGCCTTCAAACAGTGAACAAGGAGGAAGGTGAGGTGGGCTCTTTGTCCAACCACCAACCCAAGAGGCTCCAGAGCAGCCCTATCTTCTTGCACCCAAGAGCCAGACACGTTAACTCACCCGTATTCGGCTTGGCGTGCAGTTCACCTCCTTCAGAGACCTCTGGGCCTTCGGGGTTCGCGTCTTCATCCCGTTTTATTTGGGAGCCGAAAGAGGAAGCCGCAAGCCCGTAGTCTGTCCAACAGAAAAGGAATTAGGGGGCAGCTTGACTTTGGGAACACCTCTTCCCTACCATTCTGTAAGCAGCCTCTGGCACTCAGCTGGGGTAAGGAGACCCAGGCAGGGTTTAGCTGGCATATATACTGTCAAGCCTTTTAGGGAACTGACCTAATCCCAGATTATGGCATGAATTGGGGAGACAGGAGGCTTGGCAGGCCCTTTCCGCGTCTGCAGCACCAAAAGACTAAAACCAGATTTCAAGAGAGTCCATTCCCCACCATCTCAAAGAAATTACTCAAACCAGGACTCCTATGTAAGCAACTAGAACTCCAACTTCTATTAACACCAGCCTGCATGATCAACTGTCAGGGATAACGCGAGTGGCAGTCCAGGAATATCCTGAGGGCCACAGGTTTCTCACGGCTGGGGCCCCTTCACACTTCATGGTTATAGCACAAGGATTTCCATTTGGGCCCCGCCTATCTTCACGATCGCATTTCCCTCTATGAACCGGTGCGAACTTTAAGATCTTCCAGGGAGGCCTTCCTTTCGCTCCCACCACCGTCACAAGCATGGTTGGTGGGGACGAGAGAGAGGGCCTTCTCAGTGGTGGCCCCTTGCTTCTGGAGGGGCCACCACTGAGAAGGGGCCTCTCTTATTTCCTAGAGAAATAAGACAAGCCCCATCCCTCCCCTCCTTTCGTAGGCGCCTGAAGACCTGGTGGTTTAAACAAACCTTTGAGAATGACTAGTTCTAGCTGTGCCCCAGACACTGTTGAATTTGGCCATATCTTCTTCTACCAATTACCCAGGTCACTCTCTTCTGTTAGGCCCTGGAAATGTACAGCCATAGGCTCTACCTAATTTTTCGGGCCCTCTAAAATCGCAGTAGCCCGGCCTGGCCTTTTAAACTGCCTTGATCAGACATGGTTATTTTAAATATAGTGAATAGTGAAAGGACCAAGGCAGACACATCTCCAGCTCATCCCTTGTTTGGGTATCAGCCAGCACGTCAACGACTTAAATCTAGAAATAGTTTTCTAAGATCTACAGAGACACTCGCTGGAACACCTCAGCAAGCGAGAGTCCAAAAGTGGCAGGCTCAAACCCAGAACCTCAACCAATGGCTGATACCAAATGAGAGACTCCCCCCTGGGCACACAGAGGACTGGGCAACTTGGAAGGCGCTGAAAAGACTGTGCTCTGGCACCTCGAGATGCAGAGCCAACCTTCAGAAATGGGGCTACAAAGTGGAATCCTCGACATGCGAGTGTGGAGAGGAGCAAACCACTGACCACCTGCTGCAATGCAACCTGAGCCCAGTCACATGCACAATGGAGGACCTTCTTGCAGCAACACCAGAGGCACTCCAAGTGGCCAGATACTGGTCAAAGGACATTTAATCAACCACCAAACTCACAAATTTTGTATTTTGTCTGTTTGTTTGCTTTGTTCTGTTAGAAATGTAATATAATTTGACTGGTTGTCCTGACACGACAAATAAATAAATAAATAAAATTTAAATATATGTGCTATTGTGGTTTTAATGCTTAGATTGTCTTGTAAATTTTATGTTTATGCCGTTTCTTTCTTGTATGTACTGTTTATGTTTACTCGGAAACCGCTCTGAGTCCCCTCAGGGAGATAGAGCGGTATATAAATAAAGTTTTGTTGTTGTTGTAGTGTACCGTCCGTCTTCCACATCCACGGATTCAAATATACATGCCTCAGAATTATATTTTAAAATAAATCCCCCCAAAAACAAACCTCAATTTTGCCATTTTATATAAGAGGTTTCCTTTTATTACATTGTTATACATAATGGGACTTGGAACGTCCTGGGAGTATAAAGGCCTTTATTTGTGTTGTGGAAACCTTGTTATTGTAAATCGTGCAACCATTTTATTTTACTACAAAGAAAAGACTCCTATGGGAGAGATAACATTGGTCTGTGTGTTATTGTTCTTTTTGTCACTCTGGGTTCCTGGTGCTGGGTCACACTGCTGCTAATAAGTTACTTTGCTGTACATTCATGGGGAGGGTCTTTTATTAATAAGCCTACTTGCCCAACAGATACTGCCTGTAGGAAGTAGATTTTTATAAACGGCGAAGGACAATAATAATAATAATAATAATAATAATAATAATAATAATAATAATAATAAACTTTCTTTATACCCCGCCACCATCTCTGCCCCTACGTTGGCAGTCTTTAGGAAAAGCTTGAAGACCTGGCTGTTCCGATGTGCCAGAAGCACTTTATCTGAGTTTTAAGATTGCCTGCACACTGCTCTTATCCTAAAATCCGACATACCATCTGTCACACCCAGCACTTTTTAAATATGTACCCATCACATTTGGCCCGGCTCTAGTTTTATTGTGTTATGGTGTATTGTTTTTTTGTGTTTTTTTGTTGATTTGTTATTGCTTTAATTGTTTTGATTTGCTTTAAGTTGTGTATTTGTTATGCTGTTGTTTTATTGAGGCCTTGGCCTTTGTAAGCCGCATCGAGTCCTTCGGGAGATGCTAGCGGGGTACAAATAAAGTTAATAATACTAAAATAATAATAATCTCCCCAGTGGGGACTCGGGAGCGGCTTACATGGGGCCAAGCCCAGACAACATATTGCAATAAAATAAAAACCAAGGCATAACATCAAAACAACATCAACAAAATTACATAGAAAAAAAGTATAAACACAATCATAAAATAACATTTCAGTAAGCACAGTCACAATAACAATGGAAAAATACTACAGAAAAAATAGGGAGAATGCAGTAATACTCCACTCACCAACACTGAGGTCACTTGAGGTGGGCTTTGCTTCAGCTTTCTCTTGGTCTTCACCGACTTGTACACTTTCTACCCCTTCCATCTGGGAGGTCAGGCCCGGTCTAAAAACCAATGCTTCTGTTTGGGGAGACATAAAGGTGAAGGAGTTTTTTTTTAATACAGTGGAGGCAAGAGATTGGTAACAAAATAGTCCACCCCAAGATGAAGCTCGCCTCCCCAAAGAAGAGAATTCCTGATAGCAATCTCTGCAGGAAAAGACAAGCTTCTGAATATTTTCTTAAAAGATGGTTTCACTGTGAGAAGACTCACAGTGAGGAGTGTAGGAGTGACAAAATCCAAAGTTCTCAAAACCCACTCAGCAATGTTTTCCAGTCCAGCCTTCTTACCTGGGCTGGATTCTGCCGAAATCTCCCTCCCTTTGGAGGCCTCTTCTTCCTCCCCTTCCTCATAGGGACGCTTGCCTTGCTCGATCCGCGAGAGAAGGTCAGGTTTAGCAATGGCGTAGTCTGTTGGAGAAGGAAAAACTCTTCTTTTGTCTATTGGTTGCACACCACAGGAAAAAGCTAGGTAAACAGAACACGGTCTGTAACAGACACGAGCAAACTTCAGCCCTCCAGGTGTTTTGGACTTCAACTCCCACAATTCCTAACAGCTGGTAGGCTGTTAGGAATTGTGGGAGTTGAAGTCCAAAACACCTGGAGGGCCCAAGTTTACCCAAGCCTGGTCTATAATGTGAAACTGCTGAAAGAGAGGAAAATCTGGAACCAAACAAAAGTTGGGGAGAAATAGTAAAGGAGTAGTTTGTCTCTTTGTTCCCTTCGTCTGAGGAGGAGAACCCATGAGGATCCAATGTCTATAATGGTTGTTACCTTACATCCAAATGAGAGAGCAAAGAGGATAAGAAACACCAATCAGGTCGCGCTTATGATTTAATGGCTATTCATGGGTCAATGCTCTCAGTCTTACTCATGTGCCTAATATCAGTTTTGAGTATCTTCTCTTGTATCAGCTTTCAAAAGGACATACACTCAATAATAATAATAATAATAATAATAATAATAAGGAGGAGGAGGAGGAGAAGGAGAAGGGGAAGAGGAGGAGGAGGAGAAGAAGAAGGAGAAGAAGGGAGAAAGGGAGAGGGAAGAGGAGAAGAAGAGGAGGAGGAGAGAAAGGAGAAAAGGGGAAGAGGAGAAGGAGAGGAGGGAAGGAGAAAGGGAGAAAGGAAGAGAAGGAGGAGGAGAAGGAGAGAAGGAGAAGAAGAGGGAAGAAGGAGAAGGGGAAGAGGAGAAGGAGAAAGGAGGGGAAAGAGAGGAGAAGAGGAGGAGAAGGAGGAGAAGGAGAGGAGGGAGAGGAGAAGAAGGAGAAGGGAAGAGGAGAAGAAGAGGGGGAGAAAGGGAGAAAGGGGAAGGAGGAGAAGGAGGAGAAGGAGGAGGGAAGGAGAAGGAGAAAGTGGAAGAGGTGAAGGAGGAGGAGAAGAAGAAGAGGGAAGGAGAAGAAGAGGAAGAAGGAGAAGATGAGGAAGGGGAAGAAGAAGAGAAGATGAGAAGGGGAAGGAAGGAGAAGAAGAGGGGAGAAGGGAGAAGGAAGAGGAAAGGAGAAGAAGGAGGGGGAAAGGGAGAAGGGAAGAGGAGAAAGGAAGGAGGAGAAAGGAGAAGGGAAGAGGAAGAAGGAGAAGGAGGAGAGGAGAGGGGAAGGGAAAAAGGAAGGAGGAGGAAAAGGGAGAGGGAGAGGAGAAGGAGGAGGAGAAGGAGGAGGAGAAGGAGGAGAAGGAGAAGAAGGAGAAGAAGGGGAAGAGGAGAAGGAGAAAGGGAGAAGGGGAAGAGGAGAAGGAGGAGAACAAAGGGATCCAGGAAATCTGCTGGGTGAATCTACTTATTTATCAATGCCAACATGGAAGGGTGCAGGTGAGGAGCACCAACATTTCCAGTGGGAAAATATGTCCATCATTGCTGCTGGCATAAAAAAAAAAATGTAAAGGGACATATATATTGCGTAGTTAGGACTGGATCTCAAAAACATCAGGAATATTATAGCATGCCATTTTGTTGATCTTCCCCAGTAAACCCCAGTTTGGAAAAACTGACAAGACTAAATCACGTTGCTGTAAGTCAGCCATAGCAAAAGGTAACAACAAGCAGAATAATATGGGCTACGAATTTAAATTTGATGTGTTGCCAAAGGTTTTCATGGCTGGTTGCTGTGAATTTTCCAGGCTGTCTGGCCATGTTCCAGAAGCATTCTCTCCTGACATTTCACCCACATCTATGGCAGGCATTATTATTTATTTACTTATGACATTTATATGCCACCCTTCTCACCCCAAAGGGGACTCAGAGCGGCTTACAAGCTATATATACATACAATATTTTATATTATTAGCATACATACAATATATTATAATATTAGCATCATACAATATCAGTATTATATATTACTATATTATACTATACCATTATATTGTCTCCTGCCATGCGTTGCTGTGGCCCAGTCTGTGTATATGTTTTGTGTGTATATATATTTGTGTATATGTGTATATATGTGGTTTTGTGCATGTGTTGTAATGTATTCTTATTTTTTGGCTTTTTAAATCCCTTCCGCTGTGTTTTCCAGTGGTTCTATGAGTGATGGTCACTCATTGGCCTGATAGGTGTCTTGTGTCCATATTTGGTGTCAATTGGTCCACTGGTTTTTGAGTTATGTTAATCCCACAAATATTACATTTTTATTTATATAGATGTTATATTTTATCTTACAGCTTCCATTATTACAGGCATCCTCAAAGATTGTGAGGTCATAACCTCTGAGGATGCCAGCCATAGATGTGTGGGTGAAACGTCAGGAGAGAATGCTTCTGGAACATAGCCGTACAGCCCGGACAACTCACAGCAACCCGAATTTAAATTCCATCCATAGTTTTCATGCAACAATCTATGCCTACCAAAACTAAGGAAAAAGGTGTTGTACTATATTAATGTTGACATTTCCAGATTTTGGGCAGCTTTACTACTTTCCAATCATTTTATTATCGTTGGTTGTTTTTGAACCTGTTAACTGTTGCTCAGAGTCCTTTCAGACCCAACAGTTGCATTGAACACATTATACTAATGAAGCCACATCCCAGCTTTAAAACTCAATGAGATAATGGGATTAAATTATCTTCTTTCCACCAGCTCCCCTGCCTAGTTATGGTTGCTCTAATGCGTGATGGCGAACCTAAGACACACGTGTCAGCACTGACACACATGGCTATTTTTGATGACACGCGGCCACATGCGGCCGCATACAGAGAAGTACACCTTATAAGAGCCAATCTAATTCTATCCTTAAATGTGTAAAACTCTCTACAAATTTAACATCTGCATGTTTGAGCATTGTTCACTCCATAACTCAGCATGGAATATACATTTTTCTTATTTAAACTATAAATATTGCAAAATTACATTTATTTTTTTCTTGAAGTTGACACCCCACCCAAGTTATGCTCAGGTTTTTGGCAAATTTTGACACACCAAGCTCAAAAGGTTGCCCATCACTGCTCTAAGCCCATCTGTGGAGTGTTCACACAGTCTCTTCAATCTCAACCATTCACAATTGTGTGGCCTAGCATATATGGCATGTCACGCAGCAAACCAGGAGCGCATGTAAGAGCCAAACAGCCTGCTACTCAAGGAGAAAAACATAAACAAGTCGGTGAATGGGTGCAAGAAATAAAATCATTCCAAGCCATGGCTTTGGCTTGGATGATATGCCAGGTGGGGATTTTTAAGTACACAGGAGACTCGAGTTTGAGAATGTTAAGACGACCACACTTCTCCCATCCCTGACCTAAATCATTAGAACAGCATTAGATCATAATCTCTTGGGAGTGACACCGGTATTGTGGCGCAGCAGGCTGAGTGTCAGCTGCATTAAGATCACTCTGACCAAAAAGTCATGAGTTCGAAGCCAGCCCGGGTTGGAGTGGGTTCCCAACCAATTGTGTAGCCTGTTGTCGACCTTTGCAACCTGAAAGACAGTTGCATCTGTCAAGTAGGAAAATTAGGTACCACCTTAAAGTGTGGGGAGGCTAAATTAACTGATTTATGAGGCCATAAAGAAGACTCCGGGGAAGCATGCGGGGAATGTGGAAGTGCTTCATCAGTGTCGCAGATGGACGATGAAAGCGACAGCTCCCCGGTGGCCAGAAAAAGTTAAATAGCCTCTGTGTATGTCTGTATATGTTTGTATGTCAAAATTGGCATTGAATGTTTGCCATATATGTGTACACTGTGATCCGCCCTGAGTCCCCTGCGGGGTGAGGAGAAGGGCGGAATATAAAAGCTGTAAATAAATAAAATAAATAGCATATATGGCATGTCACGCAGCAAACCAGGAGCGCATGTTAGAGCCAAACAGTCTGCTACTCAAGGAGAAAAACATAAACAATTCAATGAATGGATGCAAGAAATAAAATCAATCCAACTGGCCATGGTTTTAGTGTGGATGATATTCCAGGTGGGGATTTTTAAGTACATAGGAGACTCGAGTTGGAGAATATTAAGATGACCACACTTCTCCCATCCCTAACCTAAATCATTAGAACAGCATTAGATCATCATCTCTTGGGAGTGACATCAAAGTGAGTTTCTGGATGGAAAAAAAGAGCAAAACCCAGTCTTTACCCAGTGAGACCAAGGACTCGTAGTTGCTCTTCATCACGTTCTTGTAGAGCTCCTTCTGCCACTCCTCCAGGTTGCCCCACTCCTGCTCAGAGAAGTAGGCCGAGTTGTCCTCAAAGGTCACAGGCACCTGCAAGCACAACAGCCACAGCCTGCTCAGGCAAATTCCTGGTGCTGAGACCCCTTCCACTCTTAAATGCAACAGCTTCCACCTCAGCCCACCCCTCCATAATGGAACAAAGTGTTGCAATCCAGAGCAGGAAACAAGGCCCTAAGATAACTATCCACCACACTTGACTGTGAAAAACAATCCTTTTTTATTGAAGAAAAATGGTTACAAAATAAAGGAAAAATGCAAGTCAAAAGCCACAGCAAAATCAGCAAACATGAATTTAAATGGACAAAAACAAAACCCAAAGCCACACTGTAAAATACTGGAACCTGTTAGCAATCCACTAACCGTACTTGATATGCTAGAAATCTTTCAAGACGATGGCCAGGGAAACCGGGTGAACTGCCAAGGTCTTCATCAATCTGAAACGATGCCTGAACTGAGAAAGTCAGCCCGGCGGAAGGCACTTAAAGCCGAAGAATTGGTTCCGTGAACCACCCCTCTGCTTTGAAGCCGCTGTTTGTATTTCTTTTAATCCGGAAGACCTTCGCAAGCTGAGTGATTTACTTCTGTCTTGCCAGAGCTGGCCCCTTCTGTTCTCATTAAAGTTCCCAGGTGCAGAAGGGAGTGAAAGGTCATGGCTTCCCTCTGAAACATTCTCATGAACACTGGTACTTTCATTTTCCAAATCTACAGAAGTTTCTTCCTCACTAATTTCAGGAGCATTGGCATCAAGAGGTACATTTTCATTAGCATCAGTAAATATATTTTCATTAGCATCAGGAGGAACAAACCGAGAATCAGGTTCAAGTTCAAACTCAGGCTGAACCCCAACACAAAGGCCCTATTTCATCAGCCACAGCAGAAAAAGGAAAGGATTGAGAGTGCTCAAGAGGGGCTGAGATGCTTATAGGCCTCTGCAGTCCAACACTTCGACAACCACCCAGAAGCCTCCATGCAACAGGCTGGAATACAAAGCACTGTCCTTTGAACTTTGGTAAGGACAGGACCCAAACTGATGGACTTTCCTCATCTGAAGACACCCTTAACCAGCATATCTGGGCCATCAATACTGGTAAAAAGCTTCCAGAACATGACTGCATTAGAGAACAACAACCTTTGCATCACTGCTGAGCTTTATAATGTAACCTGCATCTGTCTTTAACACTTGACCGCCAATCATTTGCTGCCATCGTTTATCAAACTGTGTTCCATAAGAAAAAACTGGACTTTTGTTTGTACTTTCTAGCAAAACTTCTGGTGCTTGTGGCTGTATGTTTGGTAACCTTCAGGCACTTCTGATAAATGGCTCTTTTCTCTGCAGGACAGGTCTGTCATTAACAACACCGTAATACACTTTTCAAGAATATTAAAATCCTAGACCCATGCTGGTGAACATATGACACGCGTGCCAGCACTGACACGCATGGCTATTTTTGATGACACGCAGACACATGCGGCCACATACAGAGAAGTACACCTTATAAGACACCAAATTGGGAGGGATAGCCAAATTGGGAGGGATAGCCAATAGTCCAGAGGACAGGAGCAGAATTCAAAACGATCTTGACAGATTAGAGAGATGGGCCAAAACTAACAAAATGAAGTTCAACAGTGACAAATGCAAGATACTCCACTTTGGCAGAAAAAATGAAATGCAAAGATACAGAATGGGGGACATGCCTGGCTCGAGAGCAGAACGTGTGAAAAAGATCTTGGAGTCCTCGTGGACAACAAGTTAAACATGAGCCAACAATGTGATGTGGCGGCAAAAAAAGCCAATGGGATTTTGGCCTGCATCAATAGGAGCCTAGTGTCTAGATCTAAGGAAGTAATGCTACCCCTCTATTCTGCTTCGGTTAGACCACATCTAGAATATTGTGTCCAATTCTGGGCACCACAATTCAAGAGAGATATTGACAAGCTGGAATGTGTCCAGAGGAGAGCGACTAAAATGATCAAGGTCTGGAGAACAAGCCCGATGAGGAGCGGCTTAAGGAGCTGGGCATGTTTAGCCTGAAGAAGAGAAGGCTGAGAGGAGATATGATAGCCATGTATAAATATGTGAGAGGAAGCCACAGGGAGGAGGGAGCAAGCTTGTTTTCTGCTTCCTTGGAGACTAGGACGCAATGGAACAATGGCTTCAAACTACAAGAGAGGAGATTCCATCTGAACATGAGGAAGAACTTCCTGACTGTGAGAGCCGTTCAGCAGTGGAACTCTCTGCCCCGGAGTGTGGTGGAGGCTCCTTCTTTGGAAGCTTTTAAACAGAGGCTGGATGGCCATTTGTCAGGGGTGATTTGAATGCAATATTCCTGCTTCTTGGCAGAATGGGGTTGGACTGGATGGCCCATGAGGTCTCTTCCAACTCTTTGATTCTATGATTCTAAGAGCCAATCTAATTCCATCCTTAAATTTGTAAAAGGCTCCACAAATTTAACATCTGCACGTTTGAGCATTGTTCACTCCATAACTCAGCATGGAGTATACATTTTTCTTATTTAAACTATACATATTGCAAAATTATGGGTTTCGCTCTCGAAGTGACACCCCACCCAAGTTATGCTCAGGTTTGTGGCAAATTTTGACACACCAAGCTCAAAAGGTTGCCCATCACTGTCCTGTCTGCATAGCATTAACTACCGTATATACTCAAGTATAAGTTGAGTTTTTCAGCCCTTTCTTCATGTTGGAAAAGCTCCATTTGGCTTATATGCAAGTTAAGGTTATCATGAATAATACTAATAATACTAATAATACTAATAATAATAATAACTGTATTACATTTACATTATTTTACTCTATTATTATTTTATTATTTAATATTGTTACTATTATAGTTATTTTACTCGATTGCTGTTGTTGTTCATTCGTTCAGTCGTTTCCGACTCTTCGTGACCTCATGGACCAACCCACACCAGAGCTCCCTGTCGGCTGTCACCACCCCCAGCTCCTTTATTCTATTATTACTGTTATTATTACATTTCCATTATTTTACTCTATTATTATTTCTATTACATTTATTATTTTAATCTATTATTATTGGAAGGATACATAAGCACATTTACATTGAAGGTTAGAATAATGATTTAATCAGAGTTGGACAGTCTTATCTTAAATTACAGTTTTATGTAAATATTCAAAAATATTGACCCTACTGATACCTCAATTAATGTAATTTTATTGGTATCTATTTTTATTTTGAAATTTACCAGTAGTGGCAACAATTCCCACCCTCAGGTTATACTCGAGTCAATACATTTTCCCAGTTTTTTGTGGCAAAATAACGTGCCTCGGCTTATCCTCGAGGATATATGGTAATTTAGTTGTTCTGGAAAGCAACTAAATTCTCTTGACAATCAAGTGACTCAAAGGGTGCATCTACACTGTAGAATGAATGCAGTTTGGCACTACTTAAAACTACCATGGTTCAATGTTAGGGAATCTTGGGAGTTGTAGTTCTGAAAATTATGAAAATTGGGGGATTCAATAATTTACCAGAGAAACAAATGAATCATAATTTTCAGACAGTATCCAATCATATTAAAGATTATAAAACAATCAGACACTTTTATACTTATCCCTGCTATCAAGAAACCAGCCATATCCAGAAAGATAAACAATGGAAACACAAGAGCAGAGGCGGCCCAAGGCGGTACGCAAATTACGTTTTTGTGTAGAGCGCCCGTCTGGGGGGTCCTCTTGAGGAGCTCCCACGCATGGCTTCGCGATTTTCGGGAGGCCTGGTTATGAAGGAGCGCTGCTTAGGCCGCATTCCTTCTGAGCCAGGCCTCGCGATTCTCGCGTCTTCTCCCGCGAGACAACGAGACAAATTTTCTAAGGTTTTACATGCCTAAAAAGTTGTCTAGTACTATATATATAGTGATTGGTTTGGGGGGTGGGTGCCAAAATACTGTTTGATTACCATTGAAAATTACCTAGGGCCACCTCTGCACAAGAGTAATCTAGAATGCTAATTAATTCAACACAAATTGCTAAAAAAATACAAAACTGGCATTTTGGGTGTGGGGGGGGAGAAGGATATAAACACTAAAACATTTTCGTTGACATTAAGTCTAGTTGTGTCTGACTCTGGGACTCTGGTGCTCATCTCCATTTCTAAGCCGAAGAGCTGGAGTTGTCCAGACACCTCCAAGGTCATGGGGCCAGCATGACTGCATGGAGTGCTGTTGCATTATCTAAACACTTATATGAGCATTAACACAGCACAAGACTTTGCAGGCTTCCTAATTCTGCCATTATGAAATGCTGGCCATATAAACACAGGCAGAACATTCGGTAACCCCTAGCATTACAGTCAAGTGCAGACAGGACACCCGCTGTTTATTCCCTGGAGTGTTTCCCTTCCTTTTCTATTGCAGTTGCTAGCAAAGCTCACTCCCACACCTGAGGCTGTTAGGAATTGTGGGAAATACCTGGAGGGAGGGCTCAAGTTGGCCCAGGCCTGCTGTAGGCTGAGGAAGTTTTCACCTCCTTATGTGATGCCACCACAAAGCACAACCAAAACAAAGCCCCAAAGTCTCATGGCGGTCTTACCTTGGGCGTTTCTCCTTTGGTGCCTGGCGGGAGCCTCAGAATCCAGAAGTTCTGATTCTTCAGCAGGTTCTCCATGTTCTCCAGCCGCCTCTGCAGCAACCCGTACTCCTGGATCAGGGTCCCCAGAGCGGTCAACTTGCACTCCATCTGGTTGCCAAAGTCCACCACTGCGTTTTCGCAGTCCACGTACTTCTTCTCGTTCGTCATCATCCTGCGCTCCAGGTTCAGCAGCCGCGTGGCGTGAGAATCCACTTTCCTCTCCACGGCTTGGATCGCGGCCACCACCGTCCACAGGGAGAGCTCAGCCATGTTCTGCTTGGCGTCGCGGAGAAAACTCGGTTCGGGCTGCAAGGGCACCAGCTGCCGAGGCTCCATGTTGCAGGGCTAGGCCTGTTTATAAGAGACAGGAGTATGGTTAGCATGACTTATTTATTTTGGCTGTAGCCTGTGCAGTTCCAAAATGCACAAACTAGTACCGTATATACTCGAGTATAAGCTGACCCAAATATAAGCCGAGGCAGCTAATTTTATCACAAAAAAACTGGGAAAATGTATTGACTTGAGTATAAGCCAAGGATGGGAAATGCAGCATCTACTAGTAAATAAATCTATATAAATAAAAATGTAATGTTTGTTTGTGGGATTAACAGAACTCAAAAACCACTGAACGAATTGACACCAAATTTGGACACAATACACTTCTCAGGCCAACAAGTGACCATCACTACTAAAAACACTGGAAAATGCAGTGGACGAGACGTAAAAAGCCAAAATACAAAAAATACATTACAATGCATGTGCAAAACCACATATATATACAAATACACATATATACAGAAATACCGTATATTCCGGCATATAAGACGACTGGGCGTATAAGACGACCCCCAACTTTTCCAGTTAAAATATAGAGTTAAGACGACTCCCATGCATAAGACTACACCCGCGTATAAGACGACCCCTGACTTTTGAGAAGATTTTCTTGGGTTAAAAAGTAGTCTTATACACCAGAATATACTGTAATTAAAGATTGTTTATAAATAGAAGATAATTTTTCAATACTTTGTCAACACAGTGAAACTAGAGCTTCCAAAATAACAGTTAAACAATGTCAGGCACAGTGGCACAAAATGCAGGAAAGAGGGAAGGAAGGAGAGAAGGAAGAAAGAAAGAGGGAGGGAAGGGAAGAAGGAAAGAAAGAAAGAAAGGTAGAGAAGGAAGAAAGGAGAGAAGGAAATAAAAAAGTGAAATAAGGAAGGAAAGAGAGAGGGAAGGAAAGAGAGAAGGAAGAAAGAGAAAGAGGGAGAGAAGGAAAGAAAGGTAGAGAAGGAAGGAGAGAAGGAAAAAATAGAGAAAGAGGGAGGGAAGGAAGGAAAGAAAGGTAGAGAAGGAAGGAAGGAGAGAAGGAATGAAAGAGAAAAGGAGGGAAGGATGGAACCAAAGAGCAAAGGAAGCGAGGAAAGACACAAGTAGAGAAGGAAGAAAGAAGGAGGAAAAGAAAAAGAGGGAAGGAAGGAGAGAAAGAAAGAAGGAGAGAAAGAGGGAGGGAAGGTTGGCCACAGCAACGTGTGGCAGGTACAGGTAGTCTATATAAATAAAAATGTAATGTTCGTTTGTGGGATTAACAGAACTCAAAAACCACTGGACGAATTGACACCAAATTTGGACACAAGACACCTAACAACCCAATGTATGTCCTTCACTCAAAAAAAAATGATTTTGTCATTTGGGAATTGTAGTTGCTGGGATTTATAGTTCACTTACAATCAAAGAGAATTCTGAATTCCACTAATGATGGAATTGAACCAAACTTGGCACACAGAACTCCCACGTCCAACAGAAAATACTAGAAGGGTTGGGTGGACAGTGTCCTTTGGTTTTGGAGTTGTAGTTCACCTACATCCAGAGATCACGGTGGACTCAAACAATGATGGATCTGGACCAAACTCTACACAAATACTCAATATGTAGAGTTTGGGGGAAATAGAATCTTGACATTAGGGAGTTGTTGTTGCTGGGATTTGTAGTTCACCTACAATCACAGAGCATTCTGAACCCCACCAACAATAGATTTGGGTCAAACCTCCCACACAGAACCCCCATGTGGACCACCAGAGTGAGTCACAGCAACTCATGGCAGGGGACGGCTAGTTTCAAAATAAAAATAGATATCAATAATATTACATTAATTGAGGATCAGTAGATTAAATATTTACATAAAGCTGTAATTTAAGGTAAGACTGCCCAACTCTGATTAATGCATTATTCCAACCTTCTTCAATGTGAATGTGCTTATGTATCCTTCCAATAATAATAAAGAGAGTAAAATAATAAATGTAATAATAATAATGGAAATGTAGCAATACCAGTAATAATATTGTAAAATAATGAATGTAATAACAATAAACAGAGTAAAATAATAAATGTAATAATAATAATAGAGTAAAATTATAAATGGCATAAAAATAACAGAGGAAAATAATAAATAACCTTGACTCGAGCATAAGCTGACAGGGACTTTTTCAGCCTTAAAAAGGGCTGAAAAACTAGGCTTATACTCGAATATATACAGTAGTTCAATCTTTAAATCCTCATATTGTGTTAGCTTTTCCAGTTGTTTCTCTTCAATCTGTATTATTATTATTATTATTATTATTATTATTATTATTATTTGTGGCCAGGAACAAAGATAACTAAGCTTCTTTACCTGAAGTAGTTAACAGAAGGAATTTCAGCCAGTGCAGTTTTTCTCACTGTTTCGTGGGAGTGGCAACGGCCACAGTCCTCTCTTCGATACCACTTGGATGCATCTAAAAGAAAGGCAAGACAGTGAAATCCATTACAATATTCTGGCCGAGTGTATTTTGATTTCTACTCCTTTTCAGTGGTTACTCCAACACAGGGGTCATCAAACTTTTTAAACAGGGGGCCAGGTCACAGTCCCTCAAACTGTTGGAGGGCCGGATTATAATTTGGAAAAAAAAACATGAATACATTCCTATGTACACTGCACATATCTTATTTGTAGTGCAAAAAAACACACTTTAAAACAATACAATAATTAAAATGGAGAAAATTTTAACAAATATAAACTTATTAGTATATCAATGGGAAGTGTAGGCCTGCTTTTGGCTGATGAGATAGGATTGTTGTTGTTGTGTGCTTTCAAAGTGTTTCAGACTTAGGTTGATTCTGAGTGAGGGCCGGGTAAATGACCTTGGAGGGCCATATCTGGCCCACGGGCCTTAATTTGAGGACCCCTCAAAACAAATTACATAACATGTAAAAATTAGCAATTAACCTTGTTTGTTGTGCTTCCCCATTGCTCCCCTTCTCCCACAGTATTGTCTCTATTTAGAGGGAGAAAATGTGGAGGCCGTGACAGACTTTGTATTTCTAGGTGCAAAGATTACTGCAGATGAAGACTGTGGCCAGGAAATCAGGAGACGCTTCCTTCTTGGGAGGAGAGCAATGTCCAGTCTCGATAAAATAGTAAAAAGTAGAGACATCAGACTGGCAACAAAGATCCGCCTAGTCAAAGCCATGGTATTCCCTGTAGTAACCTACGGATGTGAGAGCTGGACCTTAGGGAAGGCTGAGCGAAGGAAGAGAGATGCTTTTGAGCTGTGGTGCTGGAGGAAAGTGCTGAGAGTGCCTTGGACTGCGAGAAGATCCAACCAGTCCATCCTCCAGGAAATAAAGCCCGACTGCTCATTGGAGGGAAGAGATACTAGAGACAAAGTTGAAGTACTTTGGCCACATCATGAGGAGACAGCAAAGCCTAGAGAAGACAATTATGCTGGGGAAAGTGGAAGGCAAAAGGAAGAGGGGCCGACCAAGGGCAAGATGGATGGATGGCATCCTTGAAGTGACTGGACTGACCTTGAAGGAGCTGGGGGTGGTGACGGCCGACAGGGAGCTCTGGCGTGGGCTGGTCCATGAGGTCACGACGAGTCGGAGACGACTGAACGAATGAACAACAACAACATTGTCTCTATTAGGGTATGTTACTTGACGCGTACCAGCTGGAAAATGGTTTTAATTTTATAATTTTAAAAGTACTAGATTAAGCAATGGCACATGTTTCTCTTTCTGACTTTTTCTGATCAGCATAGACAGAGAGAAAAACAGACAGAAGGAACAAGGCTGGGAAAAATCAAGATTGGAATCAGTCTTTCAAAGGTCTCCTCAATGACACCAAAGACAGAATCGCTTCCCTGCACTGTAGTAATTTTCAATATAAAGCCACAAAGAAAAAGTAGTCATCCAGCCCTTTTAAATATTTAATTCAGCACTGGGTTTTGCAGACTACGGAGCACTTCTTTAAATGCATGTGAGTTCGGCCTAGATAAAATACGTAGGGGAAGAGGGATATGTGTACTATAAGAGAAATGCAGAACATCCCAGCAAGGTGAGGGAGCAACAAGTGGGAGTGGTAGGATAGTAAATAAAAAGCAACACCCAAAAAGCAAGCGGATTCCAGATAAGAATCAATCAAGACGAGCTAACACCTCCCAACAAATGATTCCTCCAGGTATTGTTGAAGGCTTTCATGGCCGGAATCATGTAAATACACACATAAGAATATGCTTTTTCTTGTCCAGAAGAGAGTTAGTCCACTTAGATCAGTGGTTCTCAACCTGTTGGGTCCCCAGGTGTTTTGGCCTACAACTCCCAGAAATCCCAGCCAGTTTACCAGCTATTAGGATTTCTGGGAGTTGAAGGCCAAAACATCTGGGGACCCCAGGTTGAGAACCATTGACTTAGATTGACAGAATCCTATTTATTTATTTATTTACTTTATTTGTATACCGCTCTTCTTAGCCCTTAGGCGACTCAGAATCCTAGAGTTGGAAGAGACCTTGTGGGCCATCCAGTCCAACCCCATTCTGCCAAGAAGCAGGAAAATCACATTCAAAGCACCCCAACAGATAGCCATCCAGCCTCTGCTTAAAAGCCTCCAAAGAAGGAGCCTCCACCACGTAAAAGATGAAAGTCCCAGAGTTGGAAGCCTTCAACATTTCATGGGGAAGGTCGCAAGGAAGCCCTAAACACAGCTGACTTCTCTCCAAGTGGATGGGAGAACCAATGTAATGTTTTGAGTATTCAGCAAAGATTCTGGAAACCAAGGTTAGAATCCTTGCTAGGCAATGGAACCCAACTGGAGGCAAAGGCAAACCTGCTCTGAAGAGAAGACCACGATAAGCTTCCTTCAAGGCCACCAAACGTCAAAGGTACACTAGAAGTCCCACAATGCCCCATAAATTCAGCACATAACAATGCTCTGTACAGTTCAATGCTTGAGAATTTTAATCTTGAGTACCATAGCTTTTGGGTGGTTGTGGGTTTTTTCTGGCTATATGGCCATGTTCTAGAGGCATTCTCTCCTGACGTTTCCCCTGCATCTATGGCAAGCATCCTCACTACCTCTGAGGATGCTTGCCATAGATGCAGGAGAAATATCAGGAGAGAATGCCTCAAGAACATGGCCATATAGCCCGAAAAAACCTACAACAACCCAGATTCCTCCAGGCTTTGAAGCTGCAAGGCCATTAAATGCTAATCATGGTGGCCATTTGCAACATTCACACTTGCCTCAAGCAGACAAGAGTCCTTTCTTCCACCCTGGACGTAATTCCAGAGATATATAAACCTCACTTGACTAGTTTACAACAGACCCCTCAACCTCTGAGGATGCCTGCCATTGATGGGGTGAAACGTCAGGAGAGAATGCTTCTGGACCATGGCCACACAGCCTGGAAAACTCATAGCAACCCAGTGATTTCAGCCATGAAAAGCCTTCTAGACACATTGAACAAGTGGTAGGTTTTGAATTTCTATAACCACCCATCTACTCTGAGAGCATGCCCTTAGGGGGACTGTTGATTCTATCGTTTTAGTAGACTACAGCACAAAGAACAACAACATCCCCATCTATGATGCTAAAGAAGTGGCCTGCCATCCACAAACACTTTGGTTAACACAACACTGGCTAGTCATTAAGGGCATTTCAATGCTTATTTGTATTTACTTTTTATTCTCTTTGTATGTGTATGTGCCTTCAAGTCACCTGTGGACTTAAGGAGACCTCATGGAGTTGTCTATGGCTGGGTTGTTTATTTATTTAGTATATTTGTATACCGCCCCTCTCAGCCTTCTGGTGACTCCAGGCGGTTTACAAGACAAAATTCAAGGCCACCAAAAACACAATTTACAATATACAGTATAAAACGTCAATAACAATAAAATCATAACACTATAATAAAACATAATTCAATAGATACTCATTAAAACAATGTCCAGTCCCGTCGTGTAGTTTTTCCGTTCTTATGTCCGTTACTCAGTATTCGCGAATGCCTGCTCAAATAGCCATGTCTTAAGATTCTTCCGAAATGCTAGGAGCAAAGAAGCCGATCTGATTTCCCTAGGAAGGGTGTTCCATAGCTGAGGGGCCACCACTGAAAAGGCTCTGTCTCTCGTCCCTGCCAGCCATGCTTGTGATGATGGCAGGGCCTCTCCAGACAATTTTAAAGTCCTCGCAGGTTCATAAGGGGAGATTTATTCGGACAGGTAAGTTGAGCCAGAACCATTTAGGGCTTTATAGGCTAAAACCAGCACTTTGGAACCAGGGAAGGAGTTTCTCTCTTTCGCTACCTACCAAAGTTCAAGACCACCACCAGTCTTTCTTTCCCTGGACACACCTACACTGACCACTTCAGTCAGTTTCAAATCACTATTGCAGAAAGTGGTTTCACTATGCAGGAAATCCTGGAACCAGTTTGAGGTCTGGATGATGATAACACAAACCACAGAGCCATGATGCAAACCAAGAGCTTTGCTTCTTGCTGGGTTGCTGTAAGTTTTTCGGACTGTCTGGCCATGTTCCAGAAGTATTATCTCCTGATGTTTCGCCTGAATCTATGGCAGGCACCTTCAGAGGTGGTCAGGTCTGCTGGAAACTAGGCAAGTGGGGTTTATGTATCTGTGGATATACAGATATTTAAAACTACAAGAGAGGAGATTCCATCTGAACACGAGGAAGAACTTCCTGACTGTGAGAGCCGTTCAGCAGTGGAACTCTCTGCCCCGGAGTGTGGTGGAGACTCCTTTGGAAGTTTTTAAACAGAGGCTGGATGGCCATCTGTCAGGGGTGCTTTGAATACAATATTCCTGCTTCTTGGCAGGGGGTTGGACTGGATGGCCCAGGAGGTCTCCTCCAACTCTAGGATTCTATGACTCTATGAATGTTTCCATTGGCCATCTTGATTAGCATTTAATGGCATAGCAGTTTTCAAGATGTGGCTTCTTACTGCCTGGGGGAATTCTTTCTTGAGAGTGGTTAGCTGTCCCTGCTTGTTTCTTGTCTGGATTTCCCCTGTTTTTTGAATGTTGTTCTTTATTTACTGTTATGATTTTAGGGTTTTTTTTAAATACTGGTAATCAGATTTTGTTCATTTTCATGACTTCTTCCTTTCTGTTGAAATTGTCCCCATGGTTGTGGATTTCAATGGCTTCTCTGTGCAGTTTGACATGGTGGTTATTTATCTATTTACAACATTTATATGCCACCATTCTCACCCCGAAGGGGACTCAGAGCGGCTTATAAATAAAAAATAAAATATATTATATTATTGCCATAGCACAGTATTAATATTATATATTACATTGCACTATAACTTTATACTGTAATATTATTAGTCGAGAAAACCAAAGTGCTCTTCCAGCAGTCACCAGCCAATCCATCTCCAATGCCACAGATACAGCTTAATGGTGTAACATTAGAAAATGTGGACCATTTCCGCTCCCTTGGC